GACATCTCTTTATATTTTCTGTACCCTCATTTAAGAAGTTAGTTTGGGGTTTAGTAAGAGACAGTGGCCTAAGTAGGCTAAGTATCAGTAACTAATTTAAACTACTTGGTCCTTTTTCACATAGTTTTTTGGTTTTTCTTTTTTTAAGTTTTCAGGGACTAGAATTGTGATCCTAAATCTGTGTTAGAATTATATTTTATCACCATGTTTGAGTATCAGTTGAGAGATTCATAACACCCTGTTGAATTTGATACTCTTGACTGAAAAGTGGCTTGGCTAGTTGGATGTCCAACTTATGGATAGTAATAGTAAGGCCTAGAAACTTAAATAAATTGTAAAGTGACGTTGAAGAGGCAGCACTAAATGTAATGCTTAATCTGGAATTGACTTCTTGTTACATGTGTTGATTTCTGTTGAAGGTGTTGGTTTTACAGTATTTACTAGATGCCTTTAAAGAACTGAAGTGCCTGTATAACAGATAGCTAGGAAATAAGATAAGGGGCAACATGAGACTTTCATTATATGAGCTGAAGGAGAGCAGTGGTAATAAAACAGTTTTCATTTATTGAACACTGTTCTAAGTGCCTTCCTGTATTCATGTTTATCCCATTTAAATTCTCTACAGTAGTCCTATCAGATGAGTGCTGTTTTTCCCCTTTGTTGGAGGTGACAAAATTGAAGCCCAGAGAGGTTAAGTAAATTAGTCCAGGATCACACAGCTGGTGAGTGGCCAAGCTGGGATAGGAATTCTGGCAGTCTGATTCCAGAGTGTACTTAATAATTGTACTAGGCTGCTTCCCTGTATTGCAGTATGAGATTATACCATTGAGCCATGAGATTGTATCAGTAAGCTAACTTCCTTAGAATCTGAAGGAGTAGTGTATACTTCAGTAATTCTAAACTGTCCAAGTTGAGAGAATTTACCAAACTAAGTAATTTTGAATACTGACATTTCACTTACTAAATAGTAAGATTTTAGTCAATGTGGTAACAGTTTGTGCAAATATTGCCTATTTTTTGCTTATCTAAATGTTTCTTATGTCAGAAAATGACAAATTTCTTAAATTTGTATGTAAATGTAGATAAAGAGGATGTAAGGTTAAATGATTGCCCCCAAACCCATGCACTTACTTGTTAAAGACATGCTTTAAACAGGTATTTATATTTGTTTCCAATTGAATGAATACTTTGATTCAAAGATGTATTTTTGTGTTTATTCAAAACTTAATTTTTTGCATTCACTCATGTATTTGCTTATAAGATAAGTTAGTGGTATAGGAAATAGTTATTTTTATATACGCTACTTAACATTGATAGCCTCTATAGAGTGTACTTGCAGGATTTGACTTTAGCACATTTGAAAGGCACAAGAATCAAACTTATTACAGTTTGCAGCCATAGTTTTGCAGCAAGTTTAGTTTTTAAAAATCAACCAAATTTAAGAGTTAATATTTAGACAAAAGATACGTTATGTCAGCAGGAAAAAACTTCAGTAAATAATTACAAAGAAAAAGAATTTTGAGGTGCCCATGTGAAGATGTACACCTTTATTTTCATATCATAATAAAATTGAGCTGATTTACTTTACATTTTGTATAGCTAATTTGCTGTAGCATCGATAGGATTGCTTCTATTACTATACCTTTTTTAAATAATTAAAATATCTAGAATCATATCTTAATTAAAATATTTAGAATCATATTGTGAATCATGCCTTTTATCTAGCAGGAATTTTCTGAACTGGGATGCTAAGGATGACTGAGCAGATTGTATGGTGCTCTGTAGTTTTTACCCATTTTAAAATTTTCTTCAAATGGGTGATTCTTCTGAAAGCATCTTGAGAATTGGTTTAACTTTTATTATTAGAAGAAGAGAAGTAGAAACATATCACACACAAATCATTGGCTACTTTGAATGAAGTGTATCAAATAGTACATCTGAATTATTTTTTAAAGGTGCCAAAGTGTTTATTACATTTAGATGTTTAATATTTTACGCAATTTAGCTTATGTCTCGCAGACATGTTTTTCACCCTGGCCATTCTTTCTCTGTCTCCTAACAGCTAAAAATTCTTAATTATAGCATTTAATATATTTGTTAAAGTAGCTTAAATGGAAATTTGTGAAGCTCTACAAGATTAGTGAATTTTATAGTGTGCTTCACATTAAGCTTAGTTTGAATTACCATTTTGTAACCTTAAGAATGGTCTGGCTTATGAAGTTTACTGTGACAATATTGTAGCAACTGTGTTAAGAATTTTTCCCTTTGACCATTTTGAACCAACATCTTACCTTCTTTGAACTTAAGAGCTCATCATTAATGAGACACTCCATTATATTATGTTCCGTAAGTGAGGAACAAAAACCCTAAAATGAGAAGTCTACAAATAAAGCTGGGACACCAAAGGCTGTTCCCTCTATGTGAAGCAAAAGCAAAAAGGGACAACAAAGTAACTAGAATATCTCAACTTTGGTTATTGGGCAGAGGGAGGGGAAAATCATTTCTGGGGATTTGAACCGTAAGCCAATTCTCTCATAAGCTTGCAACCTGGATTCCCATTATCAGTGTGGTGTTAAAACAATAAATAAATATAACTTAGAAATTTTTAATGTTCTCAGATTGATGGTACTGCCAAGTGACTGACCTGAGTCAAGAAAAATCCTCTGAAAAAAATTCAGTTTCAGTCAGATGGGTTGTCATATGCATCTCTATGTTAGGTGTACCTTAGAATTAATGAATAATAGAAATCATAATATTTTTATCAAATATTTTCTTCAGGCTTTGGGAAACAAGCTTTTTTATGATGCTCAGGCCTCTGGAAGAACTCTTAATTTTATCAGATTCTTTCAATAACTTTTCATAAGAAACAATATTTTGCATATTTATGTTTTTGTCTTTTGGTTTTGCGGTAATATCACAGTTTTGCTTTAGAATTACATTAATGATCTATTTACTTTTAGAATATTCATGTACGTAGCTTAAGAAACTTGCTAATATTTGTCGGGTTGAACAAGCTTAACTAGTTAACAGAGATGCAGAGGGAAATTTTAGCGTTTAATTTGACATTAAATCTCATTTTATAACCAATACCATGAGTTCTAAAGGCAAATTTTTTAGATGTTTTGAAGTTTGAAGTGTGGGAAGAACAATTGAGAGAACTGTCAAATTCTCTACTTTAAAGATTTTTCATGTGTTGTTTGCAGTGTCATTAACCTGGTCTAGTAAACTTGTTATATGTAAGCTTGTTTGTGCTTTGTTTTTAAGTGGGATTTGATTGCTGTGTATCTTATGAAGTAGTATTTCAGTTTGAAATTACATTCATTTGTAATCATTTGTACTGCTGTCAGTGTGGAAATGTTCTGTTGTATGATGGAGATTTTATCCCACTTTTTAAATGTCTTTAATTCCTATGAGAAAATACTTATTCATTTTTCTCTTAAGTTTTCCAATTTCAGTTTTTCCATTTAGCTTTGAATTCTAGTTTTTGCATACGTTACTAGCATTTGGTTTTACCTACAGTCCTTTTTATTTATTGGAGGTATTGGGAATTGAACCCAGGACCTTGTGCATGCTAAGCACGCGATCTGCCAGTGAGCTGTACTCTCCCTCCCAGGCCATTTTAAATAGCAGGCCTTTTTTGTCTCTGTTGCCTACCAAGCTTTCCCCATAATTAGTTACTTAGTACTTAAAGAATTCAAATAGACTTTGCTCTTAGCCTAAAGCAGAATTAATTGTGAGGTTATATCTATTGGGGCGAGAAGGAGAAAAGGCCTAGCTCTAATTCTTTTAGTCTGGGTTTTAGAGGCTTTTCAAGTGCTTTGTTTTCAAATTCTGTACTTAAAAAACAAAACAAAACAAAACAAAAAAACTTATTATTTGCCCTTGTGTTTCAAGTTGTAGGCACAGTTTTCTTTCAGGGTCTCATTTACTGATGTTGAAACAGTTTACCATTTTGAGGAACAAAAAGACTTTTTTGTGTATTTGTTTCTTGCATCCATTAATACTATGCTACTTCATTTTAGTGGTAATTTAGCCTAGTTTAGCTTTATGAGTTGACTTTCACAAGTAATAAATGTCAGTGTTGGAGTATTCCCTTTTACTTTTAGTAGTAGGATTTATATATTCATATTGACCAATAGGCTTCTTTTTTTTGTTCTGATTTCTCAAATTGTTCATCTAATTTGAAACTGTTGAATAAACTGGTCACTTTGTTCTAGTACCTGTGATTGTTGTAGATAATTTTTATCTCCCTTCATGTTTTTCTCACATATTAAAATCAAAATTACTATGTGAGATTGTACTAACATACACAAACATTGGGTCAGAATCCTTTGGAACTTTATGTTAATCTTCATGATTTTTATTCATACATGGTAGCAAAGATTAATTCATAGATTTGAATGGCAGTCATTGGTAGATGAGATTAAGCTCCCAAGCTTGCTTTCTTTAGTTATGCATGTATGTGCTTTATTAAGTTTTTCTTTACAAGAGAAAGCGTGGATGTAATTTGAGTTTGAAAGTTTTTTAATGTATTTGTTTAAAGTCACTGAATTACAATCACTTTTGATCTAGAATTTTTTAAAAGACCAGATGGCTGTAAATTTATTTAATATAGATATAAAAAATCAAAGATGAGAAATACTGAAAAAAAATTTTTGCCTTGCTCCAAAGAAGGGAGAAAAATATGTGTTGAGTTAAAATTAAAAGGAAATGACTATTCTTAAATTTAGGTTAGAAATGACATAATAATCTGAACTTTTAAATTGTAAAATAATTTTGACTATACATGTAGATTATGACGTAAGTATTAAAATAGATTGTTGATAGATAAAATACTTCATTCATTCAACAAGCACTTACTAAGCATACTATCCACATAGGATAGTGTTTACTGGGTTTTAATCTTAAGTTGTACATGTTAGCTTTAATAACCAGATAGTCTTAAAATCATATTAAGTGCTTTGGTCTTATATAGTAACCTTTTTTTACTTTTGTTCTAGATGCCTGGAATGATGTCTTCAGTAATGCCTGGAATGATGATGTCTCATATGTCTCAGGCTTCCATGCAGCCTGCCTTACCGGTAATCTTGTGAAAATAACTGTTTTCTGTGATGTTTTAATTACTTTTATATATGAAATAATGTGTATTTTATAGACAGTTTTGTTACTTTTTAAGTGCTTCCTGAGAACTATAATGTAAGATGAGAATTACATGTACTTCTGTTTTTAGTTTCTTGAATGATAGGCAGTTACATTTTCCCCTGTATTTATATTGTAATATATGTACATCCTTAGTTACTAAGTTAATTCTACATTAAATAAGACTAGAATTCTAAAAAGCGTAACTTGTCAGCCAGAAGCTTTTTATTAGTTTTATAACATTCTAATCTTAAAGAGTGGACATTTTGCTTTACTTGAGTACTAATTAAAAATTGATATGATGTGATTTAATACCAGATCTTAGATTTAGAAATCAAAGATTTCATTTGAAATCTACATTTCATGAGATTTCAGCTGTGCCACATTACTTAGAAAAATCCTTGAATAGTTTTATCACCCTTATTGGGTAGTACAGCAATATAAAAATCATTATGATAATTCAGATTAGCATGACTTCTTTATTACCTGATAGCCTACTGGTTGTTTTGAACAGATATGGCATACTCCAGTGGGATAGTAAGTTTGCAGAATCTTATCCAAAGCCCCTAGGGCCAGATACATTTCAAAATTTTTTTAATGTTGTAAAGTAATACATTGCCTGTGATATAATGCAAACATTTTCCATGGGGTCTTGAGCAGTGCTCTTTAATTTCTAACACAGTATTTCTAAAGCAAAACCTAACAGATACTCACACTGATGTGGGATAAATCAGGCTATAAAGAGCTCATGTCATTCAGTATAGATTGTGCCACTGTAATGAGTTTTGGTGCAGAACCAAAAAAAAAAAAAAAACTTGATTCTCAGAGCTTTTTGGATCTTAGAATTGTGGGTAAAGGGTTGTGTATCTTTATATAACTGATGATCATGTAAAAATAATACTTAAGAGTGCTTCAGTAGCTCCAGGTTACTGAGATTTTTTACAATTTATAGCAAGCTCAGGGAACTGAGACAACTAAAACTTAACTAAGAATCTTTGAGCCACTGGCTTGAGAATTACTACATAGGGGCAACTGATTGACTAAGCTTAATGAGACTCTTATATAAAATATAGTTTAAGCAAGGTGAATGTTGTTAACTAATTTCATTTTTCTTCTTACAGCCAGGAGTAAATAATATGGATGTAGCAGCAGGTATGTATACTATATATGGGAGTATATATTAACTTCATTTGGACAGTAGCAACTGTATTATAGTGAGGAACAAGGCTGTGTTTCTCGGGCTCTGTAGTTAGCTCTTGATTTTTTTTTCTTCGCAATGAAAAATAAGAATAGTGTTCATAATTAAATCCATAAGAAATTATCACAATTTTAGATGAAGAGTTCTGGGGCCAAATTTGATCTACAGATACACTTTGGCCCACACAATGTTTTTAAACTTTATGCTTAGTTGCTAATGTTTACAGTCTGCAGGCTTACACAGAGATTGAATTTTTCCTTTTACACAAAGATTGACCTTATCTTGAAAAGCTGGATGATCCGAATTTTCGTTATCTATTACATTGATCTCTCAACACAGTAGGTACTCACAGAACATTTGAATGAAAATTCTGGTTAAGTCCATGTATATACTCCACAAACATTGTAGGATGGAATAACAACTCCATACTTCAGATACAGATTGTGTACTCTCAGACTTCTGGACTACTTCACTATCATTTTTCTAGTACCTAGGTGGTCCTTGTAAATAATGCAGGTAATTTTTTTTTTCAGCCAGTTACCTATTAGTGTTTATTAAGATTAGTGTAACTTTAACATGTAATAATAATGCTTCAGTTATACTTGAGTAAGTAATATTCCACAAAAGTTAATATTCCACATGTTGACTTATTCCCTATGTTTATGCCAAAACATTTTTTGTTTTAATATTATGGGTTGAAACATGTTTAAAATGCACTCTGTGCTTTTCTGCAGATTTATGTGGGCCATAATTGATCTTTTTAAGATGTTTCCCAGATTTCATTATTTAAGCTATAATGATGTTCTGAAATACCTTAGAATAGTATATTAGCCTTTCTAGCCATCTGCAGCTTGTTACTATTACCCTAAATAATCCTGGGAAATTACTTCAGATTTCTTTTTTAATTAGTTTTTAAATGCTTTGATTCTGTTATTGATGTTCCATACTAGCTTCTTTTGACTGCTCTCCGGGTATATGTATTACTTAGTTTTGTTTCCTTTTTACACAGTCTTTTGTTTTCTTTATTGTGTGTGGTTTTAAGCTACTAGTTTCTAAAGTTAAAGATTATTCATATGATCTTTGTGACTAATGTGAATTTCCCCTTATGTCTTAAAGGGGTTTTGGTAGTGGTTTAGGATAGTACCATCCAGTAGAACTTTCTGCTGTGGTGGAAATATTCTGTAATCTGCACTGTTGTGTACAGTACCCACAGCCACATGTAGCTATTGACTACTGGAAATGTGGGTAGTGCAGAGGAGGAACTGAATTTTAAAATTTTATTTAATCTTGATTACTTAAATTTTAATTTAAACAGGAATATGTGATGGCTAAAGGATACTGTGTTGTACAGCACAAGTCTGGAAACTAGATAGTTGAAGTTGCCAGAAGTCTAGAACATAGAATCAGAGGTCTGAGACAGTACTGTACCTAAGTAATATAGCAGAAAAACAGGAATTAGTCAAGATAGACACCTATAATAGCAAGGAGAGGAGAAACAGAAGGTAAAGGTGTGAATACTTCTTATGGCTCCAAATGAGTTTATAGACTGAAAGTTCAAAGTAAAGTGCCAACTTAATTCTGAAAATGCTTTGCACTATAGCTGTTTATTTTGTGGGAAGGAGAAAGCAGTCTTAGGATATTTAGTGTGACAGTATAGAGGGGTGAAAATAGTATGAATAAATATTACAAAACTGTTAATGAAAGCATGATTTGTCACATAATATTGTTCTCTCCCAATTTTTTTTTTAGGTGCAACATCAGGCGCAGTAAGTATCTTTGGAATATGTTTATTTCATTGTCCTTCTTTAGCGTACTATATTGATCCTTGTTTCTGTTTTAGAGATTATCTACTAAGTTGAACCCTTTTCCTTTCTTTTCTATGCCAAAGGTTGAAGAACTTTTTAATAGTTTATTTTTAAATCTTATTTTTGTAGGACTTAATGAGAGGTATGGGAATCAGATATATTATCAGTTTTTACAAGGATTTGAATTCTCCTTATCACAATTAGAAGGAAAATGACTTGTAGGCACACAGTAATTGATAGTTTTCAGTTCAGCATTACTTTGGAAAGTACTCCTTTGTATTACAAAAATGTACGTACCCTTGTTCATTACTGTAAACCTAGTGTAGACTTTTCCTAATATATAGTAGTTTAAAATACTTTTTTGCTTATACCTTCCTTAACACAGCATCAGTATGACAAAGAATATTCAAAATTGCTTGGTTTTTGTTAGGAATGGAGAGAATGATACCA